AGCCAGGGCCCTCAGTGGGGAAAAGGAGAGTCCACTTTCACCCGTGTTCACACTGTCCGGGCCTGGAATTGCATCAAATAACCCTTCTCATTCAGTGAGTGGAGAAACCAAGGCAGCTTCAAAAGCAAGGCTTTCCACGTGAACAGCTGTGGGCCCGAGTGTCAACCAGCCCAGGGAATTGCTTGTTTATTCCCTGATTTCCCACTAATTTTAATTTAGCCACAAGCAATGATACTGTGAAAGCGTTTCTCAGAATCTGTTTATAAATATGATTTGGAACTTCCTAGTAAGTGATACATAGAATGATGATTGGGATATGTTTGCCACACAGTGGTACCACATAGTCTATGTCAAATGAGGACACTTAGCATAAGATCTGGGACAATTTCACAGTGCATAATTATGAGTACTATAGGCATACGGAGTAAGTGTTTACAAAATCCCAGTGAAAAGTTGCTTAGGACTTAACTAGAACTGGTTGCAGTCTGTGAATGACATATGAATCCTTCATAGAGTTATCTAGAATATGATAGTATACCCACTTTCTAGATGTGGAAACTGAAGCTTAAGAGATTTACAGATTTTTCCACATTCACACATCTACTAAAGTAGCAGAGGCAAGACACAAAATATCTGATTTCAGAGCTTAAAAGCAGAAAGATATACTATTCTAAGAGTATTAATTTAGCACTTTAAAGGCCTCTCTTTGAATGACTGGATACTGTTATTGCTTATTAAACAGTCCCATTTTTCCTATCTGTTGGGAGCTTTCTGTTCAGTGTAGGCCATTGTGTCAATAACTGTTTCTGTTATAATTAAGATTTTTTCTTAATGTATTTGAAAGGCAGAATTACAGAGCGAGAGAGAGAGATAGAGAGGGAGGGAGGAAGGGAGGGAGGGAGAGAATACCTTCCATCTACTGGTTCATTCCCAAAATGACAATAGCTGGGGCTGGGACAGGCCAAAACCAGGAGCCAGGAGCTTTTTCCAGGTCTCCTACATGGGTGCAGGGGCCCAGAGATTTGTGCCTTCTTGCACTGCTTTCCCAGGTGCATCAGCAGGGAGGTGGATTGGAAGTGGAGCAGCTGACAGTTGAACGGCGCCCATGTGGGATGCTGGCATTGCAGGCAGTGGCTTTACTCGTACCACAATACAGGTCCCAAGATGTAAATTTTGCAGCAGTCCCCGGTAACTCTGCATGGATTAGGTATTCTTCTAAGTGCCTTCTCCATTATTATACCCATTTGGACACAGAAACATTTCTGGAATGACCTGCTCCGAACTCCATATTTGACAAAGCAGTTTGAGTAAAAAGGATTCTGTCACTGGCTAAGCCGAGTGAGACACAGCGGCCTGAGGCCAGGACCACCAAGCACACAGCCTTGCTCTGGATCTCTTCTCAGAGGTGAGGCCTTTTCTGAAAACGAGGAAGCCTCAAAATCTTCTCCCAAAACAGGCAAGCATTATGCTAAGGACGACACGGCACTTCTAACGGTTGCTCAGGCCAACTTAAATGCTCTCTGTTGACAGAAAATACACTTCTAATCTAGAACCATGTAAAGAAGGCAGCTGGTGCTGGAACAGAAAAGAGAGTCCGGGGTTCTGATGGAAAAGGTCCCGGAATTCTTAGGACTTGACAGTAACAGGTTCTGGCTTCCTGTCCTTCCAGGTGACAAATGTGTTCCGGCTCCTGAACAAGCTCCGGTCTCTCCCTTTTGCCCTCTGCCTCTCAGGTTCTTTCTTTTTCCAGCAACCACACAGATGGCACGGTGAGGGGTGTCACCTGCTGTGTTCACTTGAGGAAGGTAGAACAGGGTACCTGTGTGGTGATGACAGCTGCCTTCCCAGCTGGTGCGCAGTGGCTAGGATCAGGAGGAAATTCAGGGAGCAAGCAGCATTCTCCCTGACAAAGGCCAAAGGAACTGGGCACCCGCTGTCACTTGGCAGTTTCCAAGGACTCTAATTCTTTGAGGCCCAGGATATCTGGATAAGAAGAGAACTGCAGGTAGCAGACCAGGCGGCATGCCTGTTTTTTGGATGTTCATTGTGCATTCCCTAGAAACTCATGCTGCCCACAACTGAGAATATCGGTGGCTAGTTGTTGAACTCATAGGTGGTCCCTCTCCGGGAATTACCTTTGGAAATTACCCTCCAGCAAAGGGAGGTGTCTCACCCCAACATTACCCAACCCACCTCTAACAGCAGCACAAATCCAATGGCTGCAAAACGAAGGCCACACTTCCTTGCCTGGGTATAAAACAACTCCACAGGCCAGGCCAGCCCCAGCGTGCCCACAGGGTCAGCTTCACCCTCTGTCCAGGCCTGCCTTTCTCACTCCCTTCATGAGTGGGGCGCATCCTCTTGAAACCTCCCGAGATCACGAAGAGAACGAGCTGAAGGGCTGGGATTCCCATCCAAATCCATGGGACTTGTAGTCCTGAGTTCCTATGAGCTTTATCAAGCCCTTGACTCTTTTTACATCTTAGCAAGACATCCGTGTTTTCCAGCTGCACAGCCCATCACTCGGGCAGACAGCCCCCGGCTCTGCCTCATCGAGCCCGGTCCTTTTCCTGAACGGATGTTTTCACTGGCGCCATCGCGGCTCACTGTCCTTGTCTTCTGGGCACGTGCCGTCTTTTCCTAAGAACCTCACTTCAAATGTTCCCTCTCAGGGCCCGCGCCGTAGCTCACTTGGTTAGTCCTCCTCCTGTGGCGCCGGCATCCCATACGGATGCCGGGTTATGTTCCGGTTGCTCCTCTACCAGTCCAGCTCTCTGCTGTGGCCCGAGGGGGGGGGGGTGCAGTGGAGGATGGCCCAAGTGCTTGGGCCCTGCACCTGCATGGGAGACCTGGAGGAAGCACCTGGCTCCTGGCTTCGGATTGGCGCAGCGCTGGCCGCTACAGCCATTTTGGGGAGTGAACCAATGGAAGGAAGACCTCTCTGTCTCTCTCACTGTCCATAATTCTACCTGTCAAAAAAAATTTAAAAAAAAAAAGTTCCCTTCCGTGTGGACAGCTGCCTGACCCCCGAGGAGGGCACAGAACCTCAGCCTTCCAGCTCCCTCTGCAGACGGCTGCGCTTCCCTTTGGTCTGGTGACTGAATTATTATCATTGAGTTCCTTGCAGGCAGGGCCATGTCTTCCCACAGCCTCCCCAGCCAGCCATGTTAAAGATGTTTCACTGAATGGAGAGATAAGTGACCTCGCCTGGGGTGCTGGTCCCAGAGGCCCTGCTGAACGGCTGCCAGCACTCTTGTGGCTGGAAGCATCACAGAGCGCCATCCAGGGCCCGGTGTTATGGTGCAGCGGGTCAAGCTGCTGCCTGTGATGCTCACACCAGCATCCCACAGGGGCTCTGGTTGGAGTCCTGGCTGCTCAAGCTCCTGGGAAAGCAGCAGAAGATGGCCAGAGCGCTTGGGCCCCTGCCACCCATGTGGGAGACCCAGATGGAGATCCAGGCGCCTGGCTTTGGCCTGGCCCAGGTCTGGCCCTTGCTGCCATTTGGTGAGCCAACAGCTGGAAGATCTCTCTTCTTCTGTGTAACTCTTCCATTTCAAATCAACCAATCAATCTTTGTTTTTTAACTGCCATTCAAATATGGAGAAACTGTGGCTTCCTTGAGTAGGGGGACCAGCCTTTTTCCGTCTTTGTGGCCTTCCAGCAGTTATGAACACAGTCTTCTGCTCACCCTGACACTGGTGGGGTCTCGGCAGAACCAGCGGACAGAGAAAATCAATTCCCTCCGTGGCTCAGACTAAACTATTTTCTTTTTAAATATCCACTACTTACAATACAGAGGATATTTCTATACCTATTTTCTTCTTAATTAATACAAAATACCTCAAAAAAGGTAATACAAAGTGGAATTAAATGATGTTTATTTTGGTGCAAAAAAAAATCTAAATCTTGCATATTTTTTTCATCAGATGCATTTTCCATGAACTGTTCAAGACCCCCTCGTATGCTCCTTAATTCCCAATCTTGAAAATCCCTCCTTTGTTTGAAGCATTTGTATTTTCTATTTCATAGAACTCAGGATGGCTTAGAGCTTGCTAAATCCCACTTGCAGGTTGCAAATCAAACCTAATGTGGCTACATCAAACCTGGCTACGAACTCTTCCAGCCGCCAGCGTTACACTATGTCTTTGTTTTAAGGAGCCTCTTTGAAGCATAAATATGTCATTAATCTACAGGGCAGCTCCCCCAACCCTTCTGAAACTGCTCATTCTTTACTGGAGAGAGGTGCAGGGAGGGATGCAGGCACCAACTTCTGCTGGTGCAAAGCTGAGACGGTGAGGGAGCCCCTGTCCTACACGCCCAAAAACCAAGAGGCAAGCTGACAGGGCAAGCAGTGTACTCTCCGCCTGGGAATTACTGTCCTCAGCCCCAGCGGCCAAACAAGAAAACCACTGCTGAGAGCTGGCTAAGGCCAGGAGAGAGGACTCACAGCCCTGAACGCTGACGTCTTAGTTCCTAGTGGATCGGGGAAGGAAGAAACCCTCTGGTGTGTTAGGAACTGAATTTCCTCAGAAGTGCATCTGAATCTTATTCACGGCTTCACTGTTTCCACTGCTGGTCGGAGGGGAGTATGGAAAAGCTGTGACCACATTTTCCCTCCGAGAGCTGCACATGGGGTTGCCTTGCTCTTCACAAGTCTCTGATCCGATACGGGCCCCGAATGTGAATTGGAGGCTCTTCCGCGGATCTTTCGTAAGTGCAGGCTGCCACGCACTCCTAAGGACAGCACTGCAATTGGCAGCTGCATCTTATTTCAAAATTTTGCTCACAATGTCCGGGTCACACATTCATTGGTTTACACCTCTGTAACTGCGCCCGCTCAGGTTTAACTCTGCAATCTGTTATCTTTGCTCATTCTTTAAATGTTTTCCCACAACTATTTCTTGAGTACTCAATTTGCAGTGGACACCGCGATCAGTGCTGGTGACCAGCAAAGCAGTTATCAGAAAGAGAAGCACACTGCCGGGAGCTGGGGACGGTACCTTCTTAAACATCCGGGTGGAATCCTCGCTGATCTGCATGAACCGCATGATCACATTGTTCAGGTAGATGTCACTCAGGGTGGCGTGGTCCTTGCTTTCTCTCCTCACTTGGTTCAGCAGCAGGTACCAGCAGTTCACTGGAGACAACAGGTTCTGGTCTTTCCTACGAAGAGCAGACAGACAGCGTGAACACCAACTCCCAGGTCGCCCCTATCAACCAAATGAAGGCATCAAGACCTGCTGTGGAGTCAGAACACACGGGCACTGTGGCTCGCTGCTCGCTGTGCTGAGCTTTTCTCAGAGTAAGATCCCGAACGGCCGTGCAGCCTGTGGGGGGCTCAGCGACAGTGACTTGCCAGGCTTGGGAGGAAAAAACCTGAACCGAGAACTCCGGCGAAAACCTGTGCTCCTGGAAGGGCTGTGGGACCCTGACATAGTTAGTGCTCGGGCAGCCCTTCGCTGCAAACAGCCCACCCAAGAAAGCAGTCTATGTTGACATAAAATCAGTGGACCCCCATCTCACGGAGAGTGCTAGTCACTGCACAACGTCCCCTTTGATTGTTCAGTCCGTTGTTGGACACGTAATGCAGCTATAGTTACGCTTTCTGGTGAACGTAAATTTGAGGGTTTGAGGGCTATTTACAAATCCCTGATGTGCAACCTCCAGCCTCGCCAAAGGTGTTCCCCGGGATCAGAACTTTACGGCATTGTTTCAAGGCTCATGAATAGAAGAACCAAGAAGTTTGCTGGCTCAGGACTTGTCACATGTCCTGCTGAAACCCACTAAACTGTCCCAGGTTTGTAACTGCTCCTTGTTTGATTCGCCATAGTAAAGCTAAAAGTGAGTATGAGCCATAGACCTTTAAAAAGTTCTTAAAGAAAAACTCCAGCCATAATCAGTGAGCCAGTGGGAAGATTTGCTTTTTAAAATGTATCATTGTTGGGGCTTGCACTATGGTGTAGAGGGCAAAGCTGCCGCTTGCAGTGCCGGCAACACACATGGGCACTGGATCGAGTCCCAGCTGTTCCACTTCTGATTCAGCTTCCTGCTAAAAATGCAACAGAGGATGGCCCAGGTAACTGGGCCCCTGAATCCACATGGGAGACCCAGAGAGTGAACCAGAGGATGGAACATCTCTGATTCTCTCCCTCTTTGCAACTCTGCATTTTTTTTTAAAAGATTTTATTTGTTTGAAAGGCAGAGTTACAGAGAGAGAGGGAGAGGGATAGGCAGATATCTTCCATCTACTTGTTCACTCCTCAAATGGCCACAATGGCCAGGGCTAGGCCAATCAGAAGCCAGGAGTCAAGAACTTCTTGCAGGTCTCCCACTTGGGTGTAGGGGCTCAAGCACTTGGGCCATATTCTGCTGCTTTCCCAGGCACATTAGCAGGAAACTAGATCAGAAGTGGAGCAGCCAGGACTTGAACCAGCATCCATATGGGATGCCAGGCCACAGGCGGTGGCTCTGCCTGCTACACCATAGCACCAGCCCCATAAAAATAAAAAAAAAAATAATTGTTTTATCAACTAACTATAAAATGGCAAAATAGCACACAGTGGTTATCCTTACTCATAAGTTTAAGGGACACATGGACTATTTAACCAGATAAATTATCCTCTTACTATTCATTATCATTTAAGATTTTGAATACTAATTAAGTCTGGAAAGAAATGACTAAGTCAAATCTTCCTTCAATTAAGTCTGTCAGATTCAAGAGTTAATGCTGCATCTGGACGTTAACACTCTTCTATACAGCAGTTCGGAGTGCCTGGGTTCTAGTTCCAGCTCTGCTTCTCCTTCCAGTATCCTGCTGATGCACATTCTGGGAGTGAGCACACGATGGCTATAGCAGTTGGGTTCCTATCACCCACATGAGAGACCTGGATTGAGTTCCTGGCTCTTGGCTTCAGCGTGGCCCAGTACTGGCCCACGTATCTGGAAATTGAACCAGTAGATGGAATATCTTGTCTGTCTGTCTGTCTCTATTTCTCTGACTTCAAAAAAAGTGAAAATGAAAAGAAGATACTTGCATTGCCTATCAGAGTATCTGGCTTCAATTCCCAGGTCTGGCTCTGACGTCAGCTTCCTGTTAACACATATCCCAACAAGCTGCAGGTGATGGCTCAGGCCACTCAGGTGAGAGACCTGGATTGAGTTCCTGGCTCTGGCCCTGGCCATTATGGGCATTTGGGGGTGAGTTAGGGAGTGGGAGCTGTATCTATCTATGTTTGTCACTCTGCCTCTTGAACAAATTAAAAAAACAAAAACTTTTCCAGAAGAGAAAGAAAGCAGAGGCTGGATGCAGGAATGGGCGTGGGGGAGGAAAAGCCTGATGAAGGGCGTAGAGCTTGTATCCCTGAAAGCAGCCTTCCATTCCTCCTGCTTGTTGAGAGTTACAGTCTCCACCAGGGAAGCCCCCAAGCAGGGGCAGAGGTTGACCTCTCTCCACTCAGCTGCAGAGGTGACTGCTGTCTTACTGAAAAGAGCTTTTTTTTTTTTTGGACAGGCAGAGTGGACAGTGAGAGAGAGAGAGAGACAGAGAGAAAGGTCTTCCTTTGCCGTTGGTTCACCCTCCAATGGCCGCCACGGCCGGCACACTGCGCTGATCCAATGGCAGGAGCCAGGTGCTTCTCCTGGTCTCCCATGGGGTGCAGGGCCCAAGCACTTGGGCCATCCTCCACTGCACTTCCCTGGCCACAGCAGAGAGCTTGCCTGGAAGAGGGGCAACCGGGACAGAATCCGGTGCCCTGACCGGGACGAGAACCCATTGTGCCAGCACCACAAGGCGGAGGATTAGCCTAGTGAGCCACGGCACCGGCCAACTGAAAAGAGCTTTTAAGGCCACCATATGTGCTGAGGCAGCCCACACATTCTTTGGAACATGCCACACTTCCTTGAATCCTCAGTGCCCTGCCCCACAGGAAGACTGAGATAACTGTTATTTTATTCGTCGAGTAGATACATGATAATTATCGCCTTAACTAAGAGTACAGCATAATAATATCAATAATAACAGCAGCTAACCATTTCCTGAGCACCTACTGCATGAAGAAGAACACGGGTCAAGATCATGATCTCTGGAATTATCCAGTCTTGGCTCAGCTCCCAGAACTACCACTTACTGGGTATGTGATCTTGGACAAATTATTTTAATCTCTTTGAGCCGTAGTTACTTTATAGAGTGGGTAAAATAACAATACTCATCTGATGTGATTATAATGGGGATGATTTGAGTTTATATATATATTTATTTATAGTAATGCTTTGGGCACATAGTATGCAATAGGAAGTTGGCTATACATACATACATACTTACATATTTTTTATATAAACCCAGGAGCTGCTCTGAACACTACATATACATTAACTCCAGCCCTTACCACACAATTTAAGGTGGAGCTGCTTTGTATCGTTTATACCCATCAGAGAACTCTTAATGAGGCCCAGTGGTCTCATAAAGATTGTATGGGGGGCCGGCGCCGCGGCTCACTAGGCTAATCCTCCACCTGCGGCGCCGGCACACCGGGTTCTAGTCCCGGTCGGGGCGCTGGATTCTGTCCCGGTTGCCCCTCTTCCAGGCCAGCTCTCTGCTGTGGCCAGGGAGTGCAGTGGAGGATGGCCCAAGTGCTTGGGCCCTGCACCTGAATGGGAGACCAGGATAAGTACCTGGCTCCTGCCATTGGATCAGCGCGGTGCGCTGGCCGCGGCGGCCATTGGAGGGTGAACCAACGGCAAAGGAAGACCTTTCTCTCTGTCTCTCTCTCTCACTGTCCACTCTGCCTGTCAAAAAATAAATAAATAAATAAAAAAAGATTGTATGGGGTCTGGCGCTGTGGCATAGCAGGTAAAGCCGCCTCCTGCAGTGCCGGCATCCCACATGGGCACTGGTTCGAGTCTCGGCCGCTCCTCTTCTGATCCAGTTCTCTGCTATAGCCTGGGAAGGCAGTAGAGGATGGCCCAGGTCCTTGCTCCCCTGTACCCATGTGGGAGACCTGGAAGAAGCTCCTGGCTCCTAGCTTTGGATCAGCACAGCTCTGGCCGTTGTGGCCAATTGGGGAGTGAACCAGTGGATGGAAGACCTCTCTCTCTCTCTCTGCCTCTCCTTCTCTGTGTAACTATGACTTTCAAATAAATAAATAAACCTTTAAAAAAAAAGACCAAAGCTTGCATCTTGAGACAGTCCATCCAGGGAGGCTAATTCAAGTGTTAGGCTTTCCACTATGCAGCGGCAGCTTCAGGCCAAGGATGGTTCCACACAACAAGCAACCCCAAACCGATTAACAGCAACACCCACAGTCCAGCTTAAATAACTGGTAATGCGGCTGTGCTAACAGCAGAACACTTGTCTGAAGAAAGGGAGAAGAAAAAGTGACTGCATACGTGGCACCAGCTATCTGTCATATCAAGGACTTTGTCATCATTCACACTTAATCTCACACTTAGGATCTCATGTCAAAATCTAGTAAACTTGGACTCAGAGAGGTCATGTAATGTGACCAAAATCACACAGTGGAGCCAGCATTCAAACACAGGTTTGGCTGACTTTTTTTTTTTAACTTAAGATATATTTATTTGACTTGAAAGGCAGAGTTACAGAGAGAGAGAGGGAGAGTGAACGAGTCAGTGAGTGAATGAGTTCTTCCATTTGCTGGTTCGCTCCGCAAATGGCTGCAATGGCTGGAACTGGGCCAGACCGAAGCCAAGAGCCAGGAGCTTCTTCTGGATTTCCCGCATGGGTGCAGGGGCCCAAGCACTTGAGCCATCTTCCATTGCTTTCCCAGGCTCACTAGCAGGGAGTTGTATCGGAAGTGGAGCAGCCAGAACTCAAACTGGCACCCATACGCAACGCCATCACTGCAGGCGGTGTTTAACCCACTCCACCACAGTGCCGGCCCTAGCTGACTCTTTACTAGAACCCGTGTATGAGTTTTTCCTAACTCTGGTTTATCCTTCCCGCAGACTTATTGTTCATGTTTACCAAACTGACTCAAGTCAAATAAAACGTCAAGAAAACAAGAGAAACCGAAGAGAAACCAAACGATGCCATCTGATCCACCAAGAGGTCAGACTAAAAAGCACAAACCCTTGCCTGCTTTCAGTTCACAAGCGCAAAACACAGAAGACATCAAGTTACCAAGCGCAAAACACAGAAGACACCAGAATTATTTACTGACTGGATGAATGGGCTATCTTTTTATCTGCAATCACTTTTCAACAGTTACTATAAATGTCAGTATGGCAGGGGCTCCAGTCTCCTCATCACAGCCTTGGTCTCTGTCAAGTACATTTGGCACATGCTTGCCCTGGAAACCATCATTAAGATTTGTTTTTATGCTGGAACAACACTAGAGAATAAAGTCATCCAAATTAGAAAAAAAAAAAAGTAAAAGAGAAAAAGAGTGTTCTTCGCGGAGACACGTTTTGTGTTTACTTTTGCAAAAGTACCCCAGGGCTGTTTCCCACCCTACTCTTTATGTAGGATCCGGAGTCATGGAAGGGTGTAAAATGGAACTGTATATAAAGCCAGTGGTGCAGGCACAGACCTGGCTCTCAGCCCCTCCAGTATGGAGACCACACTGAGCAGAGTTCGCCTGTCAGCCCCCTACCCAGGTGGGTGGACGCTTTTCTGTTTGGTCATTTCACCAGGATGGCATATCTTCTGGTATCAGGACGGAATGCAGGAGCGCTGTTGGCGGGGGAGCCCTCAGTTCCCGACTGTTACCAGGCCTAGGCCTCATCTTCCATCCCCATTTGGGATTTAAGGGTGGACACAACTACTATTTATGCTTTTTTCTTTTTTAAAAGATTTATGTTATTTATTTGAAAGGTATGGTTACAGAGAGAGGAGAGACAGAGAGAGTTGGAGCCTGGAACTCCATCCAGGTCTCCCACATGGACCCAGGGGCCCAAGTGCTTGGGCCAGCTTCTGCCGCTTTCCCAGGTGCATCAGGGGGGAGCTAGATCGGAAGTGGAGCAGCTGGGACCTGAACGGGTGTATGGGATGCCAGTGTCGCAGGCGGCAGCTTAGATGCTACAGCACAGTGCCACTCCAGTTTTCAGTGCCTTCCTTTTGTGGCCCTTGGAAATTTCCCTTACTGTATCGCAAGTACAGCTATACACTTAAAGGATGAGTATTACATTTTAACCAGCATGTCTGGGGCTTGGGGGCATCAGTGTTTTTTCATAGTGTCTTTTTGCTACACCATATTTCTGGAGATGAAAGTCTTTCAAATGTTTCCTACAGAGGTCTGTCTGTCCTCACCTCCAGTGAGACCAGTTCACACCATCCCTGAGAGGGCCCCCCCGCACCTGAACGGTCTCCCTACCTCTACTGTATCTTCCTCCAGTCCATGATCCTAACTCTTGTCTTTGTCATCATTGCACAGTGCTGTGTGAGTGGCTTATCCTTCCACTTGGTGCGTTCCAAAGACTTTCTCATGCCCTCAGGATCAAGTCCAAACTGCCCAGGAAGATCTACAGGAACTCTGTAGTCTGGTCTGATTTATGTCTGTAGCCACACAGCCCATAGGACTCCCTTCTGTTATGCAAACCCGCCTTCCACCTCGTTCCTTCTGCTCCCTTACTCTTGACTCTGCCCTTGCCTGGAACATCCTCGCTGCCCCCTTTACAAGCCAGCCAGTCCTCAGGCCTCTGCTTGGATGGCACTTGTTCCAGGCCCTGCACTTCCTGGTATGGTGATGCTGGCATCCCATGTGGGTACCAGTTCGAGTCCCAGCTGCTCCAGTTCTGATTCACCTCCCTGATAATGGCCTGGGAAAGCAGTGGAAGATGGTGCAAGTACTTGGGACCCTGTCACCCATGTGGAAGACCTATATGAAGCTCCTGGCTCCTGGCTTTAGCCTGGCCTAGCTCTGGCTGTTGTGGTCATCTGGGGGAATGAACAGTGGCTAGAAGACCTCTCTGTCTCTCCCTCTCTTTCTGTAACTGTCATTCAAATTAATAAATAAATTCTTTTAAAAAAATCAGTGTCCATGTCAATGATGAGATGGATGGGACAGGGTAGAAGCACTGAACTCAAGCAAGCACCTGCCCAATGCTCCTTTGGGCAAATCCTGTAGTGATTTGATAAAGTCTCTGCTTGAGGAAGTAGCTGATTTTAATTTGCTCTTGCAACTATCTACCTGTGGCAGATCTGAATTCCCACTTCTCTGTGATCGAGAATTTTAAAAACACACACTTTTTCTTCTTGTCTATAAGGTTACCCATAAATACACGTATGTTGGAAAGAGAAAAATGTCCAGACAATGTTATCAGTTAAAGCAGAATAAATCGATGTGCAAGAACTATAAAGGAAGAGAGTTGCTATTATTTACGCTCATCAGTAGCTTCCATGGAGGAAACCTAAAAGCCACATGGGTGTCATCTCAGAGGGGCGGACCTGAGTCAGGTCTCTCTTACTTGTATTGTTGGTGATCCTTAGTGCTTCTCGTTTTTGCCATGAACCTTTCTGCTAATTTCTCCAGGTTCCGGGAGTATTCGGTCTCAATTTCAGCTTTTTTCCGGAAGAAATCCTGCAGGTCCTGGAGAAGCTGAACTCGCATCTCTGTCTGCTGCTCCAGGCATTTCTGTTGCTCCACCAGTTGGGCGCGAATTTCTAAGGAGAGAAGAGAAGCCACTGTGTGATTTCGTGGGATTGCTGAGGGCTGCTCTTACGCACGAGAGCGAAGTAATGAACCTGTTATATATTTAGCTCTGCGCTGGAACTTTGCTAGGCTCTTGGGATCACACTGGCTCTTTAAATAACATATCTGCTGACCCTTGAAAAGAATGAGACAAGCCTCAGAAAAGAATGTAGCAAATTAGAAAAGAAATATGGGTCACATTTGTAATGCCACAAACACGCAGGGAGTCAGGAGGGGATAAAAAGTAAACCCTTGCAGATAACAATTCGCAACATGTGACATCTTTGGAGGCTAAGGATGTTGTAATTTTTTAACACCACAATACCTCAACTATCCCTTCGGAGACTGAAGACTAAGGAAATGGGCGTCATTGCTTCCAGCCTGAGCTACTACACACTTGCCAGTTGGCACACAGATTGACATCTGGTAATTTTTATTTAGTGCATAAACTTCTGGCTTGTAAAATACACAGCTTCAGGGTTTTCAGGGATGCCATGCCTAAAAATAATTTCTTTCTACCCCCAAGTAATTCATTCACACCAGGGAAATCCTCAGATTCCACTTGAGTATTCTGTCTCAGCACCAAGGCCTGCTCCCTCAGCCTTCACCTTTACGCACTGTTCAAACTAATACCCTGCTGACACGTCTAATCCTGAAAGAATCCTTTGACGATTTTAATACATTAGGAACATGAAGCTTATTTAGCGATCTAGCAAAAGTACAAAAGCAAAAATGTGGCATGCAAAAAATATCTGTAGATGACTGTAACAAAGGAACACATCTGTTTTGGAAAAATGAGAAACAGTAACTAATAACTCTTGTCTCCTTGTTTTTGTTCTTAGACTCAGGGCTAATCTCCAAAGACGAGACTATTCATGCTGGGAAACTTCTTTCTTTCATATTCTCCAGTGTCAATGCATATTCTCTAACAGTGGAGAAGGAATCTAACTCAAGTTAAGTTAGTAGAAACCAATGTCAAAATACCACCTCTTCAATTTTTTCCCAAGCAACATAGAAGAACTGACCTGATGATATGCATGTAGAAGCTTCACTACATTTAATCAAGTTCATTACCATCAGGTGGTAAAATTCTGAATGGAGATTTAGGAAATTTGCTCAATTAAATAACATATAATTAGGGGCCAGCACTGTGGTACAGTGGGTAAAGCCACTGCCTACAGTGCCAGCATCCCATATGGGTGCCGGTTCTAGTCCCGGCTGCTCCACTTTCGATACCGCTCTCTGCTATCGCCTGGGAAAGCAGTAGAAAAAGGCCCAAGTCCTTGGGCCCCTGCACCCACGTGGGAAACCTGGAAGAAATTCCTGGCTCCTGGCTTCTGATTGGTGCAGCTTCGGCCATTGCAGCCATCTGGGGAGTGAACCAGCGGCTGAAGACCTCTCTCTCTCTCTCTCTCTCTCTCTGCCTCTGCCTCTGCCTCTCTGTAACTCTGCCTTTTAAATAAATAAATAAATCTTTAAAAAAAACCATATAAACCAGTGTGTACTAGTCTACACATAAATGAAGTTGGTACTAGTATTATCCCCTATTTTACAAATAATAAATCGAAGCTAAAGGGGATGAAATACTTTTTTTCCCCAAGTGTTACTTTTTAAATTCACTTATTTGAAAGGCAAAGAGACAGAGAGAAAGAACTCTCACACACTGGTTTACTCCACCAGTGCCCTTGTCAGTAGGTGCTGAAGCCGGGAGCTGGGAATGCAAACCAGGTCCGCCACACAGGGAGCAGGAACCCAACTACTTGGGCTGTCACCATCGCCTCCAGGGTCTGCTTTAGCAGGTAGCTGAAGTCAGGGGCCAGAGCTGGGAATCAAACCCAGACACTCTTATACTGGATGTGGGCATCTTAGTGGTAGGCTAACTGCCAGCTCGCAGAAATTAAATACTTTATCTAAGGACTTCAGCTTAGTAAGTGGTGCCCCCAGGGGGCCTCTAACCCTGATCTTTCAGTCTGACTTATCACACTCATCTCACCCTCCTTTGATGCATGCAACACTAGTTGAGCACCTATACTGTGCCAGGCCCCTTTTCCATCAAGGAAGGCACAGTAACTAATGCAGATAAGGCCATGCTTGGGAAGCCCTACCTCTCAGAGCCCGGGAGAGACCGGGAAGCACTTCTCAGGTGTCCCCTGGGATTCTCCTCCTCTGAATTGGGGGATCCTCACATTAATCTTCCAGAAATGTGCCGAATACCAGAGTAAACATGTTATTAGAGACTTTTAACTACCATGAATGGCATCTGGATTTTAGTCAATCAAAGTAAATGTTTTCCAATACAGTATTATCGTCAGCATGCCTGCCAAACTCTCTCCTAAAACTACAGAGCTATTTTTGTTCCTTAAAGAAAAAAAAAAAAAATCAAGGGTGGGGAATCCTAGTAAGTCCTTTAAGATGAAGTAATTTTATCACATCTTGCTGTGCTAACAGAAAATAAATCAATCATCAGTTGTCAACCAGTTTCCTCTACTTTTTTAAGTTGCCTTAGTACCTAAGAAATAAAAGTAGCTGAGAACACAAATCACATCCGAGGTACACAAAAATTATATAGGCTTCCTTCTTGAATCTCATTTTAAAATATTTCCTTGTTTATTTCCATAAGGATTTAAAATCAAGACCTAAGAATTCAGAAAAGGATCCTTTTTTTATGGGGAGTAGCTATCATTTCACATTATATTTATTTTCCAATCAAAATAGAACACTTGCAAATTTTTCAGCAACACTCAAAATATAGAGGGTCAGAATCTAGAGAATCACTGTGAGAAAATAAAATTTACTTCAAAAAAATGGAGGAGACTATTAAATTATCTCTTCAATTTGGAAAAATCTAGGGCAAATGATTAAAGCATCATAAAAATAAGATCATTTTAAAAAAATCAATAGAAAAACACTACCATAACAGATGTCTTGAAGGTGCAAGCATTTGGCCAACCAGTGAGACGTCTGCATCCCATTTTGGAATGACTGGGTTCAGGCCCCAGCTCCGTGTCCTGATTCCAGCTTCTTGCTACTGCACACCCGCAGAGGCAGCAGCTGATGGCTCAAGTAATTGGGTCCCTGCCACCACACAGGATATCTGAACTGAGTTCCTGATTCCTTTTTTCAGCCTTGTCCAGTCCCAGTCAGTGTGGGCATTTGGGGAGTGGACCAGAAGATGGGTGCTGTCTGTCTGTGTCCCTATCTCTCTGCCTTTCAAACAAATCAATACTTTTTCAAGAATGGGAATGTCAGGGCTGGTGTTGTGGCATAGCACGTTAAGCCACCGCTTACAATGCTAACATCCTTATCAGAATACTGGTTTGAATCCTTGCAACTTTTCTTCCAATCCAGCTTCCTGCTAATGTGCTTTTAGAAGGCAGCAGAGGCCGGCTCCACAGCTCAATAGGCTAATCCTCTGCCTGCAGCGCCAGCACACCAGGTTCTAGTCCCGGTCAGGGCGCCAGATTCTGTCCCAGTTGCACCCCTTCCAGGCCAGCTCTTTGCTGTGGCCCGGGAAGGCAGTGGAGGATGGCTCAAGTGCTTGGGCCCTGCATCTGCATGGGAGGCCAGGAGAAGCACCTGGCTCTTGGCTTTGGATCTGCGCGGTGTGTCAGCTGCAGTGTCCCAGGCCGCGGCAGCCATTGGAGGGTGAACCAATGGCAAAAGGACCTTTCTCTCTGTCTCTCTCTCTCACTCTCCACTCTGCCTGTCAAAAACATAAAAGAAAGAAAGAAAGAAAGAAAGAAAGGAAGGAAGGAAGGAAGGAAGGAAGGAAGGAAGGAAGGAAGGAAGGAAGAAAAAAGAAGGCAGCAGATGGTCTACATGTCTGAGTTCTTGCAACCCATGTGGGAGACCCAGACGGGAGACCCAGACGGGATTCCTGGCTCCTGGTTTTGCCCTGGTCTAGCCCTGGTTATTGCAGCTATTTGGGGGAGTGAACCAGTGGATGGACGATCTCTCATTTCTGTTTCATTCTGTCTCTCTGATGCTCTACCTTTCAAACAAACAAATAAAATTAAAAAATAGGAATAGAAACAGAAACATTTCAATACAGAGAAAAAAAAAACACTGGACTTCTTTTACCACAACAGAGTCACAAGGCAGCAAAATACATTAGATCACCTCCCTGCACAAGTGGTGTGGCTATTTTAATATGACCTTACGAGGTTTGAGCTAACATGGCAACAAAGAATCTGAAATATTTTAAGATAAATGAGCAAAATACATGCTTGGTCACATAAATGTTGGCAGGTTGCTCAGAACAAAGAAGCCCATGGTGCACCAGACCTGCACTGAACGAACACTGTGATGGAGCTACAGGGCTGTGGTTTGGAGCACCAGTGCCATCGCGGGGGCTGTGTGACATCCCGTCAGAGCTGGGACTGCAGACAGTGTATCTCCAAGGGATGGATCTAGAAAAACTGTGAGTTTATTTACGCACAAGGGATGGCAGATTTCCTCACACCCATGGATTCTTTGACAGCTTATTAAGCATTCTCTTAGCTCTCTTGGATCGGCACTGATCTTGATCATTTTTTCAGATGCAAGGTTCATTTTAGTTTAGTTGAACCAAAATAACTATTGAACTACTCTTTCATGTTAGGAGAGTTTGTAAGGCACAGGTCCTTCTTGTGGAGAAAACCAACCCTAAACTGGTAATACCAACACATAGAGTTCAGCACCACAATAGAGGAAAAGGGGGCAGGAACTGATGCCGTCTGGAAGATTCTGGAAGACAGAACACCCTGAAGCATAAGCAAGTTGTAAGATTCACAGCTCTAATCACCAAGAAAGTAAAAGACAAGCCACAGGCCGGGAGAAAAACTTGCAAATCATACCTCTGATAAGGGATATGTATTTAGGCTATACAAAGAACTCTTACAATGCGATACTGGAAAGAAAAAATTTCCACTTGGCAATGGGCAAATGATTTCAATAGATGATTCTTCTAAGAAGCTATACACACAGCCAAGAG